AGCTACCAAAAGAACTCTTAGCTACCCCATTTAAACTCTTAGTATTTCAAAGATTCTTAGAAACTGAGAATAATTGTCGTACACTTAGGAAGGCTGGTGGTTTCTATTATCTGGATGTAAATTTAATTGATATGTTGTAGTCCTCTATGGAGGGAGGCAAGCCTCTTGGCTGGTGTTAGCAGACCGGAACACCGGTGTTTGGGGGTCCAGCCTGCTTGTTCCAGATCAATTTTTGGTGACATTTTCATGGTTTCTAGACAAAAGCTACCGAATGTAATGGCAAAGTAGATTAAATGAATTGTTTTGGGACTTCGTTTTTTGTTTGTTTAAATACCCAAACATTTGTGCATCTTTTAAGTAAGTTTTCTGTCCATTTGCATTACTAATAGTGATTGCTGCTTTTTTTTTTTTTGTATTTTATGATCCGGACAATATTTTGATATTATGATCCGGACAATATTTTTTCAAATAAGGAAGCCAAACTCTAGCCTTATAGATATACAGATTGATCAGTTTTCAAAGGGAAAAGGTTTGGGTCACAAAGTTACAAGGTTGCATGGCTGAAGCAATCAAAAATGTGTTACATTGAAAGAACAAGAAAAACAGAGTCGAGCAATGATGCTGTATTTATCTAACCTTTCTTGTTTTAGCGTGGCTTGATAATGTAAATACGCAGAATGCAAATGCCACTTCATCTTTTGTTAAGTTTTTAATGGCAGTTACCAAGGGTGAAAGTTTTTTTGTTAATGCTGAGCTCTCCAGGTTTTGAGAGAAAGAAACAGGTTTTAGAGACACTGACAAAAGTGAGTGACATTTGTGATCATTTGTGTTTGTGTGTGAGCTTTGGGGGTAGAGTGGGGTGCTTACTTTTTGGGGAGCCAAGGGATTTTCCTTCCCTGCTAGCCTCAGCTGCCAAATGCATGTCATACCTAGGTGGCTATCCGAAAGCAGGAAATTGAAGACAGGCTCAATTCATGGATCGTATTCAATGAAAAAAACAAGGAATTGTGTGCTTGGCTGGTCCAGATGGAAAACAAAGTTCTACAGACAGCAGATATTAGCATTGAAGAAATGATTGACAAGTTACAGAAGGTGAGTGGGGGTGGGGCACCCAGGTGGGTGCACTGAGGAGGGCAGAGGGCTTCTGCAGGGCTCAAAGAGCTGCAGCGTCACTGGTGTGTAGCGGCAGTGTACATATGTCAAGGGGCTATTGTTGGTCTTTCTGAAGGAAGAGATGGGAAGTGTGGCCTATCATAGGGGGGGATGCGGTGCTGCTGAGGGCTGCTTTTCCTCAGCTGGGAATACGGTTTATCTAGTTATTGTGAAGTGGAACCCAAGTCACAGAGGAGACCAGGGGCTATGAGTGGTCACTTGAGCATCATTGTACAGTCACCCAAAACACCTCTCCATCAACCCTAGGAAAGCTTTGATCTCAGGCTGACTCAGTTAAATCTGTTTAGTCTCAGCTCCACATTTGTGAGGGGAAACCGAGGGGCTGCTATCATCCAGGCTGTAGAGTTTCTTGCCTTGCATTCATGAAGCCACGAGTTTAACCCTCAGGAGGCTGAGACAAGAGGATAAGGAGCTGCAGGCCTGGGCTACACAAAGAGAAAGGCACTACTGCCTTTAACACTTCGTAGCCACCTATCCTGGTCTAAGCCATTCCTTGAAGAATACCTGTGTTGACAAGTACAAGATTTTTTTTTTCTTTTTCAATTAAAATGATGTAGCCAGCATGGTAGTGCATGCCTGCAGTCCCATGACCTGGGAGGCTGAGGCAGGAGTGTTGCCTGGTGTTAGGGGGGAGACCCTGTCTGATAAAAGAAAAACAACCCCCAAAAGTACATTCAGAGAGAGCTGTGTTTGCCCTTGGCCCGAGAAGGCCTGAAGTGGTGGTGATGGCTCCAGCCTTGTGCTTTGGTACCTGTCAGGACTGCATGGAAGAAATAAGCTTGTTCAGTGAGAACAAGCTGCAGCTGAAGCAGATGGGTGACCAGCTGATCAAGGCCAGCAGCAAGGCCAAGGCGGCCGAGATGGAGGACAAGCTCAGCAAGATCAACGACCGTTGGCAGCACCTTTTTGACGTCATTGGATCAAGGTAAGAAGCAGCCTAAAATAATCTGTATTTACTTATAAAGATTGCCTCACAGAGCAAGTTAACTGAGTCTAGCCCTCCTGCATGGTAACCTGGCAGGGTTATAAACCTACAGGTTTGCAGTTCGGAGGAGATGAGTTGTTCTGATTTGAACAATAATTGGAATGATATTTTAGTAAAATTTGACATGAATTAGGTGTGTGTGCATATGGGCGTGCAGGGGGGTGGGGCACGGGGTGTCCAAGGATTAGATTCAGCCTCATACACATGCTAGACAAACTCTCTAGCGCTCCACCACTGAGGTACCATTTTAACTGCTGCTGCTGTTGCTATCATTATTGTTGACAGCAGGGTCTGGCTATGTTCTCCAGGCAGGCCTCCAGCCAATCTTCCAAGTAGCCAGCGCTTGCCGCCACGCCCAGCTGGATTTGTTTTAAACAAGAGTCAGAAACTTAGCTTGAAAAGAGATCCTAAAGGGGAGGTCTTGTTTAGGAACTGTCACTCTCTTGCTAGAACTAACATGTCCCCCATGAAATTATGCCTGCCTGTTCATGCCTCACTCTGTGAGGTAAACAGCTGGGGGCCCTTGACTCCCTCCCCTGCCCCCCGCCCACAGCAGGAGCCCAGTGAGCACTTGAAGTTGGGAGCCTGTGTAACCATGCCAGGTCCTTGATGGGCAACTGATCCACTGGAGAATACAGCTTGAGCAGCATGTTGTTCTCAGGGGTGACCACAAATCAAAGCTCTGCTCTCCAGCGCAACATTGTTCAAAATAGAGCAGGCAGGATGTTCTCCGATCAACAACCAGTGCTGGTGCCCAAAGTCTTTTGATGGCTTCTGTTTTCAAGTCTTCTCTAAAAAGACAGCACCCGCACTCCAGAAAAACCCACATGTTTTTCTATTGCAACCTGGTATGCAGAGACCTCTTATTTGGGGACCATTTGTGCAACATTGTCTGCCACTGGCCAGGCACATGTTTTATAGGTCAGTGTGCTCAGGTGTGAACACATGCATATGATTTGGAATTTAGAGGGGAGCCTGGAGAGTGTATTAAGATTTGGAGAGTGATAAGAGTAGGATACTGTTAATGATGGGGCATATCCTTTACCCCACTGATCACCGGAAACCAGGAGTGAACCTTATTCAGCACAAGCAGCGGCCGAGTGGTATGAATGTAGCAGGCAGGACGTAAGACGAGTGAGTTACGTTAATGGGATTGGATATCTGGCAGCAGCAGTAGAGCCGAGCATATGGAGAGTCCAGATCCTATCATCTTCTGAGAGTGGAGGGGTGGAGACAAGGAAAGCAGCCGTCCCAGATGGTCCTGAGTGAAGGCTTGAAACTGCTGATGGCCACTGTGGGCAGCAGGAGAGACCCTTGTTAGGAGCAAACTGAGATGATGTGGAGGAGAAAAGCCACGCAGGAAGGGACAAGACATTGCATTGGCACAGGTGTAAGAAATGTCACTAGGGGAAATCGGGACCTTGAATGTCAGCTGTAGATCTGGCATCCTAAGCAAAGTCTGAATCCATCATGGTGACAAAGTTCCTTAAAAAAAAAAGAAAAACAGTCCAGGGGAACTGGCTGGAGGAAGAGGCAGGGATGAATTCAGCTTCTTGCAACAACCACTTGAAAAAGAAATGGGACAGCGGCAAGCCTTAAAGTTCTGAGTCTTTCCTGGCTTTCCTGTTTGTTCACTGTAGAAAGTTGAGAATGAGATTTAACTTTTCTAAGCCTGCTTCCAAGTCTTCCAGAGGCGTGCAACGGCACATCCGAAGCTGCTGTGCCCCCGTCCAGGTACAGCTCATTTGGCATAGGACCAGAAAAGTATGCAGAAGCCTGTTTGTGGACTAGTTATCCACTGTTTTCATTGGGAAGTGGAAGCAGAAACCCTTGGTTATATCTAGGAAAGAGAGGTCCTTCCTTCCTCCATGAGGCCAGGGATTCCATTAAATTATTCCCAGACAGGTGAGGCAGCTCTCTGGGTAAGAAGCCCTTGTCATACAACCCTTCCAGTGGGTAAATATGGCTGTGCCATTACTGTCTGTATGTTCCAAGTCAGCTTGGGGACTTGACACTAATCAAGGGTGTAATGACATAGCATCTGCTCATGGGTCACTCAGTAGTAAGACCTAACTTCTGAAGGTGGGGGTGGGGTAGCATACGTTCTTCAGTTATATCACTGTAGAGGTTAGCAGGCTGTCGGCTTCTCTGCCTCGCCACTGCCCATCTCTAGCCAGTTCCTTGGTGGAAAAAGAGGTAAGACAGCAGCTGAAAGTCCATCAGCCTTCTTGCGCATAACAATTGGCACCAACAGCAAATATCTTGACTGCCAACTGAGTTCCTAACAACATGCTTCTTATGCATGATGTCACTTGATCTTTTTAATACACTTAATGATGGGGGAGGGATAGAGATGAGTGCCACGTCACATGGTGGAGGCCCAAGGACAACTTGTGGGAGTCTCCTTCTACCATGTGCATCCCAGGGATAGAGTTCAAGTCTTTACCGGCTGAGCCATCTCTCTAGTCCTCACTTAATTTTTGATGGCATTCTGAAAGGTTGGTACCATCATCCCAATTTACTTATAAAAAAAAAACTGAGGGCTAAAGTTAAGTAACCTTAACCAACTAACAGAGGCAGCTCTCAATGCGACCAGGATCTTAACTCAAGACAGTGTACACACACACACACACACACACACACACACACACACACACACACACACACACACACACGCCCCATACCACCCTAGTTGGAAGCACAAAATGACTAGAACCCTGTGAGATCTTCACCACAGACCTTAAAGTTGAAAGCCTGGCATAGTATTTAGTACTCTAAAGCCCACTAAAGCAGGTCTCCTTCACTGGTTAAAAAGAAAAGAAAGATACCCCACACACACAAAAAAAAATCTAATACTTTAGTTTTATTCTCAACAAATTTCAAAATAATTAGTACCACATAACAGGTTTCTTAAAGCTACATTACATCTGATCATTTCAGACAGCTAGGCTCCTCACATTTGCTGTTTTGGCTCTTGAGACAACACTGCATGGTCAGCTGAAGCCTTCTCATTTACAGAGAGGGAACTGCCACTCAGAAAAGGAAAATGACATCCACTCAGGGCAGGAACAGGAGCCAAAGTCTGTCTGTCTCACTGCACAATGTATTTTAAAGACATGTCCAACTCCTTTGGGATGCTGGGTTTCCAAGGCACCATATATAATTTTTCTGAAACCTAGAGCTCATTGTCAGGTACTGTCTCCTGGAAGACAGTGGTTCTCAAGCTTCAGCATGTGTCATAACCTACCTCAGTGCCCTAAGCACGTCTAGAGCTGCTCCATCCACAGGTCCAGGTGAGGCCAAGACCTTCATTCCTAACGTGTGCAGATGTGACGGCAAGGTGTGGTGCTCTTGATGGGAACTCTGTTTGAGAAACACATGAGTAGTGGAGTGAAATAAATCACAAATGATGAATAAGTCTTGCGCCTCAGTCCCTATGCTGAGAAACCATGCACAAGCCCTGCTTCCTGCCTCCCTAGCAGGGTATCTGTGAGGACTGAGATTCAAAGGAGAGCTTGCCAAGACAATCAAGCGTCCATCCAACACACATCTGTCTCCATGGCATCTCACAGCCCCAACAAATTCATGGATTGGCTAGATGGCTGACCAGTGAGATCTTGCAATGCACTTGCCTCCTGTACATCCCCGCCCCCATTCCCAAGCTAGGGCTACAAGTATGCATACCACCACGCTCAGCTTTTCTATAGATACTGGGGATCTGAACACTGGTCCTTATGCTTGTGTGACACACACTTTACCAACTGAGCTATCTCCTCAGCCCTAGGACGGGACCATTTTAAAGACTGTGTCCAGTGGTGTGGGTGAATGAGCTGATGAAACTTTCCAGTGCCTGGAAGAGCTCCCTTGGGAAGGTTTACATGGACAGTCCCCCTTGTGTGAGGATCACAGAGATCATTTTCACTCTGTTGATCTGTAGTTTCTCAGGAAAATGTTGTTACCATTCTCTCGAATGCCTCCTCGATGTCATCATCATGAACAGCTTAGTACCCTTACACTAGAGTATGAAGGAGAGACTTCAGTAGCTTGTAAACAAAAAAGACTAGTCCCTCCCTGTGGACATTGGGTGGCTCTTTTGTTTTCAGAAATAGCAAGTCCCTGGAAAGACACTGGAAGAAATTAAACATTCTTCTCACATTTCCCCTACCATCGTGAAAAGCCTATCAAGTTTATACAAATAGCAAGTAAAATGTTGTCACTTAAGCTCAACAGTTATTACCCTGGCAACCATGGGCTACGATTGTTTTTCATCCTTTGGAGAATGGGCCAGCACTTTTCATGGCTCTCCTATCTGTATTTTCTCAAGGTCACTGTGAAAGGCCAAACAATGCTGCCAGTTAGGAAGCTGTCTTACTTTAGTCACCACAGGTGCCTGGAAGGAGCTGGAGGTTGGCCTCCACATTTATCTTTTCCTTGTCATCGGCCCAACCATTCTACCTTGGAGCACGTGACTGCTGTTACACACCCTGCAGAAATGTCTTCCTGGGAGTCAAGGGCTTCCCCAAGGAGAGAGCAGCCATCAGCAAATGGGAAGCAACTGGCCTGATGTGCGAGGTCAGGGAGTGAGCCTCCATGTCCTGTCCTGTAGTAGGAGGTCACAGGCCCAGCCCAGCATGTGGGAATGAACAAAACAGCAGCATTTATGAATAATGTTGCCAAGCCTGCATGCTGTTGCACTGGTAGAGGAGGCTTTGCTCTCCAAGGTGGGGATAGATTAATAGCTTAAGAGGTGGGTTGTAGGAACACACAGGAGATCAACTCTCAAAACAGGGAAAGAAGCAAGCCTGACCCATTTCCATAGGAGAAAGAAGGATTTCCATGTTCCTGCATTTTGGAAAACCCAGGGAGAAGCTCAAATCTCTTCCTCTATCTTGAGGTCCATTTGTACTGCAAGGCGGAGTCCCTCTGCAGCAGTCAGTGGAACAGAGAAAATGAACTCTGGCCTTCTCAGGCAGGACAGCAGATCTAAGGCAAGAGGAAAACTCCTCAGGGAAAACTCTTCTTCTGGACCTGAGGAAGGCACCCCTAAATGGCTCTGGCTTCAGTTTGCACTGCTGGTGGTGAACATGACACAGAAAAATTATAGACCAGAAATCTTTTTTCCCCCCATGTTCCCAATCGAAATGTTTCCTCCCTGGCTTTATAGCACTTCATACATATCACGGTGCCAAGATAACGCTGGGACTTTCTCCTCTCATCCTCGCAATCCTGTAGCGTCAGAACAAAGGCTGTGTGTGAGGAGAGCTGGAGAGAGACATTTTCTTTTTTGCAAGCGGGAAAAACAGATTAAATATTGCAGAGCGTAGAAAAGGTGTCTTGCTTCCAGCGGGAGCCCTGTGCTGGTAAGCCAGCCAGAGCTGGTGCCTCAGATGAGGAGCCTTGGGGAGGGCCTGGTTGGAAGATAGTGAGCCAGTGAATGAAGAGGGCAGGCTGGGCAGGGGGAGGGGCCGCCTGGCCAGGAGGTAGAGGTGCAGCCGGGAACTTGGAGCTTCCGCTGAAACCTAAGGAATGGTTTTTTCTCATAAACAGTAAGTACCATTTCAGCTGACAGCTGCACCCGCGACCCAGGCAGCCGCTGCTATCTCTGTGTCTTTCTGTTTTGGTTACAATGGAGATCACTGGTGAGATGGTGGCTGCAGAGTGTGTGCGCTCAGCCATTCGGGGGATGGGTTCTCTCCCGGCGTCAGCATGCTTGTGGTGGCTGCAGTCTGCCTCTGACAAGCCGGCAGAGATGCGATTGTGCTGTATAGAAAATAGACATATCCCCGCATCAAAAATTCTTCAAAGCAGCAGTTGGCTCTAAAATATATTGTACTGTCTGTGCCTTCAAATCAGGGCATGGAAATTAATAATTTTACTATGAAGATATCTAGCTCAAAATGTAAAAAGATAAAATTGTGCCGGCTTGGAACAGTGTGTTTAGCAGCTGACAGCTGACCATAGCTTTCAGTCTGGATTTAGATACTTTTGGTCATTCCAGTTCTCCTTACTAAATTCTGTGACACGACACATTGACACAGGCACTACCTAACTTCCACTGACCTGAGCTTTTATAATCTAACTGTATTTGGCTTACCATGAGAACAAGGCTAAAAGGTATATTACTCCATATGCATGAATATGAATTATTCCGGATAAATATGCATTCCATATTTAAAGCCTCAGGCACACATAGCAAGACTTCTGCCTGCTATATATAGATTACCAACTCACCTTAATTTTGACCGTTCTGGAAGGAGAACCGTGTTCTTCGGTGTTTCTGAGCCATCTGTAGTTAAGATGAAAGAAAAACTTTATTCACCTTGATCATGCCCCGAATCTCTACCCATAATTCCTGGAGTAGACCTCTTCTATTCCACAGCTACTTATAGTCATAATTCTAACTTTGTTTGGCTTCATAGAAAAAAAATGTCTTTTTGGCATGGATGACTTCTCCTTTAAACCTAACTATTGTTTTGATCATCGATTCCAGAATTGAGCTCTGGAAACCCTGTTTCTTTTCTCCTGGGTGTCTTATGTTCCGAGGTAACGCATGAGAAATATTACCTAGCTAGACGTGGGCAAGTGCAGAGGTGGAAGCCACATGGACTGCCTAGGTGGTTGATGTCATGCAGCAGCATGTCCAGAGGCTGCTCTCTGAGATTTCCTTGTTTCCTGATGTTAAATGGAGAGAGCCACTTTGACAAATGTCAGCCCTCAGGATTAGCAAGGGGCACATGCTTCCTGACCCAGGAAAGGTGACAGTTGAGTTACAGCATCCACAGGGAGCAGAGCTATAGAAACTTCAACAATGTATCTGTTGGTTCTTGCAATTAATTGTCAAGTGGTGGCCTGAGAAACATTCTGATTCCAGTGTACTGGGGGTGTCAGGACTCTAGGCAGAGGTTAAGACTCTGCCTAGGTGAAGTGCATTCTCTCTCTCTCTCTCTCTCTCTCTCTCTCTCTCTCTCTCTCTC